TCCCAAATTCCTTTGTGCCGACTATGCTGAGCAAGATGAGGTAAGAAACTGAGGTAGGGGCAGGGGAGGCCATCTTCTCCTGAGATTCCTTTCTCTCTCCTCCCTCCTATTTGGTTCCTTTATTTAAACCAGGGGCTCCGAAGCCTCTGTCCTCTGGTACCTAGGCTCCTTCTGTGGGAGTGATGTCTCTATCCTGACTGTCCTTGTCCCTCCTCTACTCACAGCTGGACTATCACCGGGGCCTCTTAGTGGACCGTCCCTCTGAAACTAAAACAGAGGAGCAGGGGGTACCACGGCCCCTGCATCCTCCACCCCCGCCCCCAGCCCAGCCACCACAGCATCCCCGAGCAGAGCAGAGGGAGCAGGAGCGGGCAGTGCGGGAACAGTGGGCAGAGCGGGAACGGGAAATGGAGCGCCGGGAGCGAACTCGATCAGAGCGTGAATGGGATCGGGACAAAGTTCGAGAAGGGCCCCGTTCCCGATCACGGTCCCGTGACCGCCGTCGCAAGGAACGTGCGAAATCCAAAGAAAAGAAGAGTGAGAAGAAAGGTACTTAGCTGTGGGGCACACATATCCACTGGTACATGGCACAGGGACCCAAGTGGGATGGGACATGGGGTGCTGTGCATCAAGTCTGACTCATTTTCTTGCACCTCAGAAAAAGCTCAGGAGGAACCACCGGCCAAGCTTCTGGATGACCTTTTCCGCAAGACCAAGGCAGCTCCCTGCATCTACTGGCTCCCACTCACTGACAGCCAGGTGGGTGCCGGCCTTCCTGCCCGGCTCAGAGCTGCAGCAAGGCTGGGGCCCAAGGAACGGCTTAGGGTAATAAGGGAAGAAACAGCATCACGGAAAGAGGCAGTTTTAAGAAACAGTTGATGAGACTGCCCTGTAGAGAAGCCAAACCTGAGAGGGTGGAGGTAGACACAAAGACAGGAACTGTGTTCACATATCCTAGGAAGCTGGCTGTGCCAGTCATGCTTCTTAAAAATTAATTTCAGGTAGCAGAGAAATCTGTTTTATAAGCTCACCCATTTCTCTCTTTTTTTAATACGTAGGGTTTTTGCTTTTTAAATCTGTTTCTTTGTAACAGGCCTTTTGGGAATTTTAGGTTTATGCCACTCAACTAAAGAGAAAAGAGATTTGTTCACATGTAGGCAGCTAGGGAAATACCAGAGGCCAGGTATGGATGGTGCCCACTACCTGCTGTGAATGTAAAAGATAAACACTTGGAGGAACTGGGACTCTGAGGCAAGGACAAATGTCATTGTTGCATGCCCCTCCCCACCCCCGCCCCCAACACACACATATTCTTCCTGCTTAACAGCAAAGCCAACAGTGACCCTGAGCTAGGAGTGCCTGGTCTAAGTGCAAATAGACAAAAGCAGGACTGATGTGAGCTGGACTGAAATGCCTATTGCCTTTCCTGCCGGCTGCAGATTGTTCAGAAGGAGGCAGAGAGGGCTGAACGGGCCAAGGAACGGGAGAAGCGGCGGAAGGAGCAAGAAGAAGAAGAGCAAAAGGAGCGGGAGAAGGAAGCAGAGCGGGAGCGGAACCGACAGCTGGAGCGAGAGAAGCGGCGAGAGCACAGCCGAGAGCGGGACCGGGAGAGAGAGAGGGACCGGGAGCGTGACAGGGGGGAGCGTGACAGGGATAGGGAAAGGGAAAGGGACCGGGAACGAGGCAGGGAGAGGGACCGCAGAGATACCAAGCGCCACAGCAGGAGCCGGAGTCGGAGCACACCTGTGCGGGACCGGGGTGGGCGCCGCTAGCTGGGAAAACAGTAGGGAGAGCTGCAGGCATCAGCCACCCTGCCCCGGGGTGGGGGCTCAAGGCCACAGAGGGATAGGTACAATCTCTTACATGCCATTTGCCCAGTGCTGAAGTATGGCTGCCACCTGTCCCTACATACCAAATGGAGCAGTGGCCATCTTCCTCCCCTGTACCCCATAACCTATCTCGGGATTTTGCCCTCTCTCTCATTTTCCATGAAGTCTGTGAGAGGAAAGAGCTAGGTTAGAGAGGGAGGTGGTGGCCCAGAGTTGGGGAACAGCCAGGAGCCCCAACCTTTTTCATTTTTCCTCCATCCTGTTCACCACCTCCTTTGGGTACTCACACCCCTTCTTGGGAACAGCTGGGGCCAGGACTGGGTCACCTATGAGCTGAATCAGCCTCTCCTGAGTCCCAGGGCCCCTGCAGTTCCCAGTCTTTCTGTCCTGCAGCCCTTGCCTTCTGCCCACCGGTTTCACTTTATATCCACCTTTTCCTTTTGTTCAATTTTTATTTTTATTTTTTTTATTATTAAATGATGTGGTCTATGGAAAATAATAAAAATCTGACTTAGTTTTAACTCGTGTGTGAGTGGCTTTCCTTGGGTAGGGCCCTGGGTGATGGTGGATTTTGGCCGGAGCCAGCATAGCTTTGCGCAGACTGCTGCTTCCCAGAGCCGGACTGACCACCTCCTTCCCTGCCTTGGCTCTAATCACACAGTTAAGGGGCTACCTCACTGGTGGGTAGAGGGGAAGGCCCCCTGGGTCCCGCTGGAGGCATTTTGGTCACCTGCTTTTCACCTTCAAGGTGCCTCCCACAACTGCCGCCAGGGGGCGGCAGCCGCTCGCCCGGTAGGCGCCTGTTAATGAGCTTCCCAAAAAGGCTCCACTCCCCACCTCCGTTCCCGCCAGCCTTGCTTCCTGGGCCCAGCCCGGGGACTCCCTGGACCTTTATGCCATCCTGAAGCGCACCCCAGCAGGCTCGCTACTGTGTCCTGCACCGGCTGCCCAAATGACGCCGCCTTGCGGCCAGGGTCCATACCAGCCCCCGAGGCCGGTCCGAGAGCGCGAGCGGGCCTCCGCAGTGGCCCCTAATTCCCCTCCTAGCCGCCAGCTCGCCCTACGACCCCGCTGTGGGGGGCATGCAGCCACCTTGGCACTCTCGGGTGCACCCTCCCGCCAGCTCTGGGGACCTGGCCTGGACGTCCAC